TCTTGGCCTACAGCCCTCTTCTTTGGATGCGGGCTGTAGTCCACGAAAGCTTATGCTCTAATAAATTTGTTAGTCTCTAAGGTGCCACAAGTACTCCTGTTCTTTTTATAAAGTTAGAAGAGCGGAGTTTCATCTGTTAGTCTTTAAGGTGCCACCAGACTCCTTGTTGAGTTTCAGATAACGTTCAACCAGAGGGCCTTTGTACCCCCCACCCCCGAGCCTCCACAGGGTAGAGACTCCATAGCACATCTGATGGAGAGGGAAAACCAGCACCACTCCCCCATAACCTGCCGTCTCCCTACCCACAGCCAGTGACCAGACCCCCTCCCTCCCTCCCTCCCAGCTAGTTACCTGTCTTCTCCCTCCCAACTTCCACCATCAGCCAGTGACCAGACCCTTTACTCCCCCACTTCCCCGCCCAGTGACCTATCTTCTCCCCACCCAGTGATCATCCCCCCCGGGCAATGACCAGACCCCACTTCTCTCCAGCCAGTGACCTGCCTTCTCCCCATCCCCCCTGCCAGCGAGTGACCCGCCCCTCCCGACCTTCCCCCAGGCCCTGTGGGTCGGGGCTAGGGTGACAAGACAACAACTGTGAAAAAACGGGACAGGGGGCCGGGGAGTAATAGGCGCCTATATAAGAAAAAAGTTCCCCAAAACAGGACTGTAGGACTCTCTGTTCCTTTAAAACCAGGACATCTGGTAACCCTAGTCGGGGCTGAGCTACACCCACTGCGGGGGAGGGGTAGCCACAGCGCCGCCGCCCGGCCCGGGGAGCACGGCGCCAAGCCAAGGCTCGCAGGAGCCCCAGAGCCAGGTCAGCCACTATGGCAGCCCTTTGCGCCCCGCGGCGTGGGGAAGCGCGGGCCTGGCCCCAGAGCCGGGAACCCAGCCGCGCGGCGCGGGTGGGGGCGGGAACTTCAGGCCGAGCCCCGCGGCTCCCTGCCCACTCTGAGCGCGCCCCCGGCCCCTCCTGCGGAGAGTCGAACCCCGCGACCGGTTCGCTCAGGACCCCGGGACTCACCCCCGCGGCGGCGCGCCCAGCTCTGTGGGAGGAGAAGGCGACGCCGTCTCCCAGGGAGAACCCAGCCCTGCCAAACTCCTGCCCTTCCCTTCGCGCGGGGTACCTTGGGAAATGGAGTCCGGGACAACGTCGTCCCTTGCTCAATTTAAAAACTACAACTCCCAGTATGCCCTAAGGTTTGGGCGCTCGGACGTGCCGGTGCCCTAGGAGGCTAGAACTACAACTCCCAGCATGCCCCACGTTCTGGCCACCCCTGTGCGGCATACAACTCCCGACATGCCTGGCGACTGACAGCAGCGATCCCTTGCGGTTAGAGCCCTAAAACTACCATTCCCATGGTGCTCCACGCTCTGCATGCTCCTTACCTGAGCCAGTGAGGCGCCTCGCTTCACGCACACAGTTTCCTTCCAAACTTTCTTCCTCGTCGCAGGCAATAACTCCGGGCCTGGCCGGGGGGATGGAGGCGGCGGCCAACTGCTCCCTGCGCGTGAAGCGGCTGCTCTTGGACCCCAAGTTCGAGGGCTACAAGCTCTCCCTGGAGCCGCTGGCCTGCTACCAGCTGGGGCTGGACTCGGGTGAGGGGCGCTGGGGAAACGTGGCGGCGGGGGCGCGGCCGCGGAAGGGCAGGGGAGGAGGGGAAGGAGGGGTCTTGGGGCTCCTGAGTGGGGAGATGCTGCTGGCAGGGGAGCCCCGGCGCGGCAGCGCTGCGGGGGCTGGGTCTCTCCTTGCAGGAGCCGGCGTTTGTTTGCCCTGGCTGAAGCCTTCTCCCCGCCGCGGGTTGCTTTGCTCTGCCCCAGCTGCTGGCCCCCAGGCAGAGGTGGCTGCCCGTCCGTGCGGGGTAAAGTCATTCCCGCCCCAGGTGGCTGGCAAGCTGCTATTGTGCTCGCCTGCAGGGCAGGTGTTGGGTAAACGTTCTCCGGGGCCTTGGGACAACCCCTCGCCACGGAAAGCCCCAGGCCGGCTGGGAAACTTTTAAGGTGTGTGTTCCAGGTTTGGGGGCATTCGCCTCTAGAGCTACGTGTGCAGTACAGGCAGAGTCGCCTGTGTGGTCAGGGTTGTCATCCTTGGCTGATAGAGCTGTGCTGGCAGAAGTCTCTAGTACTCCAGGTGTAGGCCTGTGCTTTCTCTAGAGCCTCTGTCAGTCTGCAAGTAACTTCTGAGTTTTGTTGGCTTTGGGGTTTTTAGCATTTCATCGTTAATATTTCGTTAACACATGGTTGTGGCTGTAATACTCCCCTCTCCCCATACGCCTTCATCAGTAGTATAGTGATGTCCTCGGCTCTTTGAGCGCTGGTCAAGTGAAAAATTCTCTGGTCCTTGGAGCCTGCACTGGGCTCCATCTTTTATATCAACCTCTTCCTAATAGGTGTCCTGATGAATTTGAAGCCCTCAGATCTTCTGGTTTCTGGAAGGGAAGGAGGAGCCCATTTTTTACCTTCCCATTCTGAGACTTCTGACAGTCTGTCTCCCAGACTCCTACGGGTTGAGGTTTCTCTGTACTTTTCCCTCAGCCTGTATTTTTTGGGAGTCCTTGTTCTGGGTGAACAGTGCTAGTGTCTGTCTTTATATCCCGCCTTAAGATCTGAACAGTTGCAGATGAAATTTACATGTTCTTTGTTAGTTTCAAAGCTGCTCACAGAACAGTAGCTCTGAAACTGACCTTGAGGTCTTCTAATTTCACTCTTTCAGCTGCTTGGGAAAATTATGAGCAGTAGCAGAGATACAGACCCTAGTATTGCCAACCTTAAGTGTTTAAAAATCATGAACTGGACTTCAAAATCATAGGATTACCTTAAAAATTCATGAGAGTTTTTAAAAACTTTTTTTTTTTTCCTTTTGGTTTTTGAGTCTGTGTGGTTCATGCATCTGAAGAAGTGGGGGTTTTTTTACCCCTGAGAGCTTATGCCCAAAAATCTGTTAGTCTTTAAGGTGCCTCTGGATTCCTCGTTGTTTGTGTGGTTCATGTTTTCAAGCTTTGTCTCTTCAGTCATAAGTGCTAAAGATGTATATTTTTTTTTAAATGGAAGCTGAGATTTTTATATAAAATGGCTATAAGATGGAACTTTAAGAAAAACACTAAATGTTATGAGATTTGGGGGAGGGAGAATTAAAATTAGCATCACCAAAACAACGCTGCATTGGTTTATGCTTGGTTAGCATTTGGAAGGTTACCTGCACAATCAACAGTGCTGGGGATATTATTATTATTTTTTTTTAACTTAAAGTTTGAATTTTACAGAATTTGATGTTTGAGGCTTGGAAAAATTGCCAGTTGTCATTGTAATGCAGTTAACAAATAGTGCCTAGAGGCCTCAGTTAGGGATCAGAGTACCATTGTGCTAGACACTGTACAAACGGCAAATAAAAATAGATCCTGCCCCTGAGAGCTCGCAGTCTAAGATTATGATTGGACCCGTCAGGTGAAGAAATAGAAGAAATTGAGGCATGGAATGGGAGGAGAAGATGAAGGTAAATGACTGTATTTTGTGTATGTCTTTAATTTTTTTACTATAAATGTAGCTGAGTTGCAAAGTTTGTCTGTGGAGGTTTCAGAAGCTGGTCTTCAGAAAACCTTTGATTTATTTTATAAATGGTAGGTCAATTACTTTTCCACCCAGGTTACAATTTCTTAGTCCTGTATATAGTAGGGTCTAATTTTTATCACTGAAGCTCTCAATATCTGAGCCCAACATGTGGTCAGAAAGGAAAATGGCTTATTCAACTGATAGAGTTCTATTTATAATTAAAATCAATATGCATAGTTATAATGCACTGTATTGTTTCATGTTTCAGGGCATGTCTTGTAATAAAACATTAATCATGTTGTCATGGGCAAGACATCTTATTGATCAGTTTTGATTCCATACTTTGTAAATCTTTTATAAATAAGATGTTTTAGGACTGTAAAGTGCTTTAACTTTAAAAGCAAGACTGTAATGTTCAGCCCATGCAAAGAGCACATTAGACATAGCTGTAGTTTTAGTTGATGGTTTTGGAGTAGCTGAAATCTAAGTCCTTGTGTAGTTTATTATTTTATATTATAGTAATGACCAAAATATGCTAGGTGCTGTACAGTAGAAAGACGGAGACCCTGTCCTGAAGAAGTTGTAGTCTGAGGACTTAATCCTGCACTGGGGACCATGAGATTGACTCCTGTGCATGTGTGGAGTCCTATTGAAGTCATGAGGTGTAATCATGGAGTTCAATTTGCTGTACTGAAGGAACCTAAGAGTATTGCAATAGTTAAGGCTTCCTGAAGATGCATGCAGAGATGTTTGCAGTATTCTATTCTGGCAGCACTTCTTAGATGATGGCAGTAATAAGATCAGTAAAAGAACCTCAAACACTGATGCATGGAACTTTATTCATGAGAGTACATTAGAACCTGTGTGATGGCCAAAATCAGAGGCAGGAAAGTGACCTAAATAGACCAGTTGTCTGATCTGGAATTCTTGCTCTTATGTATTATATATGTGTATTTATTTTATGTTTCAGTTTACTGTACAGACTGAACCTTGGGGTAATTTATTTAGTAGAGTCTGTTCCATCGGAGTTTCTTGTCCACTTTTTGTTAGACACTTATAATGCAGTATCAGTTTACATTGCTGTGAAGTTATTGATAAACAGTTATGTTAATACTATGACTTCATCAGGGCTTTTCTTTTATAATTGAGTTTGATAAGAGAAAGAAATCTATCGTATAAGCACATGAATGTAAGACTTCAGGTGTACCATGAGCACACACAAACTGTTAAGACTATTATTAAAGTTGTAAAACTAAGCACTCAAAATTAGCAAAAGCCAGAATTAAGGTTGCCAATGCAACTTTAATTTGGCCTCCTTTTGTGTATGCATTCTGATAGTCACATACAATTTTTTTCTACAGGGCCCCCTAATGTATTAACATTTTTTGTGTGTAAATTGAAAGCTAGTTTAAAAAAGTAAACTGAAAGGACAAATTCCATCACATTATGTTGACACTCACATGGTTCATCAGCAGGGTTGGAACCTTCAGATCCACTGCATAGACCTCTGCTATTTGAGCTTATGGAGTAACTAATAGCATTAGTAGGTTCTCATTCTATGTGTGGACCAGCGCTAGAGGTGGGATGGGACACTTGGCCAGTTAGTTTCACAGATATTTTCTGTCAGCAGAGGAATGGTGAGACTCAAATCTTGGATTCCATTAAGATTAGAAGGAAGTATATTCTAGTCGGCACAGATTGTTCTGTCCTAGGCCTTGGCTACACTGGCGCTGTACAGCGCTGCAACTTGCTGCGCTCAGGGGTGTGAAAACGCCCCACCCCCTCCCCGAGCGCAGCGAGTACAGCGCTGTAAAGCTCCAGTGTAATCAGAGCCTGCAGCGCTGCACGCTCGCTCGCAGCGCTGCAAGCTATTCCCCTCGGAGCTCTGGGAAGTCCTGAGTGTAGCCAAGGCCCTAGTTCTGTGTCTTCCCCCCACCTCAGGCTCCTCATCTCAGTCCCATTCTCTTCCCCTAGCTAGTCCCAGTCTCCTCCACTCCTTGGGCTTCTCATCCTACTCCCAATCCCTGCCCATGGCTCTTCATCTGATCTCGGTCTTCCCTCCTTCCACTTTACTGGTTCACAGTCTCCCAACTCCTCATTCCAATCCCTCATTCCCACCCCCAGCTTCCAGTTCCAGTCTCCACACCTGGCTTCATGTCAGTGATCCAGTGCTGGTTTCCTTCTCCTCCTCCGTGCCACACCCCAGTCCTATCCACAACTCAGGTTCCTCCCTTGTTCCCTCTGCATTCGAACCAGGCAGCTCCCTTCTCCACTTTGATTGAGCTCAGCAAGGAGGCATTAAGAATTCAGAAGAGACAGGCTCCTTGCTCTCCATTCAGGTGCCCAGTCCCAGACTGGAGCATGTTCAGTGTGGATGAGATCTTTAGTGAATTGAATTGCTAAAATATAGGAAATCTTTCCTGAGCATGTGTAAACTGATTTTTACAAAGGCTTTTAACTTAACCAAATATAGGTGGATTTTCACAGGGACTGCAAAAAGCACTTCCATAATGCAAAAGTCCCACCCAATGCCAAATTTTAAATCCCTGCGCCAAAGCATGCTCCAAAGCATGGGGGCACTAGAGCAGTTCAGAAAAGGTCTCCAGCATGTTTTAATGTGTACAATAATGTATTTTTCCTAGTTTCCCTCTCAGACATGGCTGAATCATTTTGGCTGAAATTTTAATAAAATTAAAAAAAAAAAAAAAAAAGTACAGCCTGAGGCAGACTCCCAGCCTGAAAATTTCAGCCTAAACAAAAGTGTCCACAAGCTGACTTAAATATGATGCGTCTGTGTCCAATATGGGTGCAAAAGAAAACCATTTCATTTTGACTGTATAATTTGCACATTAAAAAAATACTCACTAATCTTTTTTTAAGTATAAATAAATGGAGGTAAACATAATGAGACACTTTTTTTCCTCCAGAAATGTCTGAACATGGATGAAAGTGTCATCTAATTAAAAACATGCATTTGACATTTTCTTGATGATCAAACTGGTGTCATCTCTGAAAAATTACTCCTGAGGGCATTCTGTTCCAAAACACTA